CTCTCTCTCTCTCTCTCTCTCTCTCTCTCTCTCTCTCCCTTCTGCTGGATTTTCTTGGTTGATGTATAGAAAGGCTAATGGTTTTCATGGGTTACTTTTTTATCCTGCAATTTGGTTTAAGGAAGTCTTTTAACTGATTTATTTTAGTTGACACTCTAGGGTTCTCTGGGTAAAGGTTGGTGTTTTCCTTGGTCTCACTGTGTCCTCTTTGTCCTTCCAGGAGCTGGAAAGTGAGGTTGTGCAGAAGACATCTGAATGGCACAGGTAAGGCCCCAAACTGCCTGGCAAAGAAAAAAGGAGGGGAAGAGGGGTAGAAAGCTAGAGCAGAGAGAGCACAAGTGAGATTCCCGGGGAGAGAGGGGTCACTGGAGCCAGAACACTTAGGTTAGCAGGTCTATAGGATCAATCCAAACTGAAGCTGACCTTGGAGAACAGATGAAGGTACTGAGGCCTGGGAGGGAAATGATCTGCCCAGGCTCTCCCAGGGAGTAGATGTCAGCAAAGACTTGCACCCAAGCCTCTGGCTCTCTCCTTTCCATTGAGTCGCGGTTTTCTTCAGGAGACATTGTTCCATTTTCTGGCCTCTGTTTTACTCCATCCTCCAGTGCGTGTTCTCCAGGTTGACTTTGACCTTTCCTTTTGTCCCTGTCTAGTTCTTCCCAAGAAGCCTTTGAGGAGAAAAGGCCAAAGGGGATGGATTCCCTAGAGGCCCAGCTGGTTGGCCTGAGGCAGGAGGTGGTGGCCTTGAGCCAGAGCCAGGCTGAGGTGGAAAAAGAATTACACCTTTGGCCAGAGAAGATGGCGGCCCTGCGCAACGAGGTAAATCGTCCAGTTGCCCAGTTAGGCCACGCATCCGTTGGGCGCTTCCCAAAGATGTAGGCCTATTGAGTGGACTTTGTGATATGGACAGGACGTTCCTCATCTGTCAATTGGGATAATAACAGCCCCGAGCGGGTCCAATGAGATGACCTCATTTACAGACCTCAAAGCAGTGGAGAAATGCCAGTCACTTGGTTCACCATCTCTTCCCTGGCACCAAGCTGGCACGTGCTGTTCCCAGAACTCAGAGTGACTCTAGACACCCCAGGCCCCCTGTCCAGGTCCTCTTGCTTCCTCATTTCTGCTGTTGCTCTGGTGTTTGCTGAATTCTTTCCTCTGTTGGCTTCTAGATGGAGTCTCAGGTCCCAGCCTGGATGCAGAAATACCATCTCGGAGACCAGGGCACTCAGGCTGGGCTTGTACAGCTCGTGCAGGCCCAGCTTCACGACCTGGAGCAAACACTGCTGAACCATGTGGCAGAGGAGCAGGACAAGTCTGTCAACAAAATTGCTACTGACTTGAGGCTGACCCTTCTAAAGGAAGGAGTGACCACCGGGGTGACCAAGGAGGTGAGCCTGGTCCTTCTGCCTGTCCTCCTACCTGGCGTCACGGGTTTGTCCTGAGAGGAGCCTGCCAGGAGGGAGGGGAAAGCCCAGGTCAAGCAGTTAGCAAGCTTGCCCATCCCCTACATGAGCTGGGCGGGGCCTGCAGGTGGCCCGTCCCACAAGTGGTACATGCCTGTCTTTTAGGAAGTGCATGAGATGGTGCAGCAGGCCCTGAAACTGTATAGTGAAGATCGAATCGGGCAGGTGGATTACGCCCTGGAGTCCTCAGGTAGGTGACCTGCAGAAAACCAGAGGGCTTGGGACAAGAGGGACTGGAAAATCAGGATAGCCATTATGAGACAGGAAGAATTGACAAATCAGGATGCACTTTACGGGCCCGTGCAGTTAGGAGGGCTGATGTCCTGGCAGCACCCCCTCGCCTTGAGGGCTGCCCTAAGTCATCTCTGTGTCCTGCCAGCCCTTGGGTGCCCCCTCCACCTTCTCTCTCTGTTGGTCTTTCAGGGGCCAGCATCCTCAGTAGCCGCAGCTCAGAAACCTATGGCACCAGGATGGCCATTGTCAGTCTGTTTGGCATCACCTTGTGGTACCGTATCCAGAACCAAAGAGCCATCCTCCAGGTAGGGCTGAACAAAGGTACCCCAGCTTGGCTCTCTGCCTGCCATTTCTCCCCTCCTCTGTGGGGGCTGGGACCTCAAGGCAGAGGGGCCTCAGGATCTGAATCTCTTCCACATGCTGCCACCTTTCACTTGATTTGTCTTCCCCCCACAGCCAAATGTCTACCCTGGCAACTGCTGGGCATTCCGGGGCCCCCAGGGCTTTGTTGGGGTTCGCTTGTCTGCCCTCATCCACCTTACCGCTGTCACTCTGGAGCACGTGCCCAAAGCCCTGTCCCCAGACAGCGACATCACCAGTGCCCCCAAGGACTTTGTCATCTTGGTGAGTACCTGAGCCTGGCAGCTCTCCTTTCTCGAAATATGGAAAGCGCTTTCTTGACCGCAGCAGCATTTAGAGGTAAAAGTTGGAAGGATGTGCCCATTGCACAGATGGGACATTGAGGATGGTCTCTTGATTCTTCCAGTCCAGTCCTTCTGTTCCTCCTCCTCTTCTTGAAGAGGAACCAGGAAAAGACAACCACAGCAGCAAGAACAGCCAAGATTACAATGTGCCTTAGGGTCCTTTACCATAGCCAGTTGCCTGAGTGGCCAGGTGTCCCATGGACGAGTTGGGCAGGGACAGGGATCACCATTCCCTACACAGTCACCTGGTCAGGGCAGAGATGAAATGTCCATTGTAAGGAGGATTTGGGAGAAAAGATGGAGCCAGAAGAGAAGGTGAAATATGCAGGGGGAGAGGAATGCTTCAGGACCCAAATCCCGATACAGATGAAGAAAGTGCGGCACCCATGCTTGAAGGGGTTTGTCCCAAGTCATTGAGCAGCTTTGGGGAAGAGGCTGAGAAGAAGGCCAAGGCCTTGGAGGGGAAAGGCTCTGTCTATTGAGATAGTGAGAGAGATGCTAGAAGGTGAGGGGATCAAGGCAGGCAACATCAAGGTGGATTGTGTTTACTCCTCTTTCCCCTGCCCAATATATCCCGCCTTCTCTGCCTGCTCCTCCCCTTGCCACCTCCCCTATGTTTCCCTCCATGGACTGATTTGGATTCTTGTCCTAACAGCATGACCTTTCGTGCACTGCACTCCCAGCCATCCATTTGTCCATCCATTTATTCCCCTTGTTTTTCCTTCTGTGCAGGGTCTCAATGAAGATTCCCAGGTGGAGGGGGTGGCCCTGGGTCAGTTCACCTATGAGAATGCTGGGGAGGCCATTCAGACCTTCCCCTTTCAGGTATGGAGAGTTGGTCCCACAGCAGGGATCCAGGCATGTTGGTGATCTCCAGGGCTGGATCACCAGCCACGGTGATGCTGTGGCTTAGCAAGTAGCTGCAGTGGAAGCCAGGTCCCTATGGTTCTGATAAGAAGCTGAGGGATAAGCTTGGGGCTGAATTCAGCCACTGGTCTTTGATGGAAGCCAGGGGCAGAAGAGCTGTGGGAGTCCACCAAGGGATCTTGGGCCTTCCTGACCCCACTCTCCTCTTCCCACAGGGCAACGGCACAGCTCCATACCAACTGGTAGAGCTTCGAGTATTGAGTAACTGGGGTCACCCGGACTATACCTGCATTTACCGTTTCCGGGTCCATGGCAAGCCTGCCAATTAGCACCTCCCTCCGGGATCCCTTCACCCTTTCCTCCTTCCACCACCAGCAAGCAGCTCCCCCACCTCCTCCTGCCTCCCCCACGCTCAATCCCTTCTGCCCACTAAGACACCTGGGAGACAGACAAAAGGGGGGAGCCCACCTCCGTGGAGCCATCTTGTCCCACCCAGGCCTCTCTGATATGGACTAGACCACCAGCTGAGCAATTTCTCTTTCAATCCCCATCATCTGCAGGGGCTGCTTCCTGCCAGGCCCTGTCCACTTCCAAGAGGTGTAGAAATAGCTCTGGATTATATGTTGGTGGTGCGGTAGGGATTAATGAAGGCCTTGCTATGCTCAGCAGCAGTGCCACAGAAACATAGCTTACACCACCTTGGCTCTAGGGCAATGACAAATTGGACAGCTGCAAAGGGCAAACTGGTAGCTAGTCTGACATGGGCACACTCCAGCAGGTGGCTAATGCCGCTCTCCAGAGGAACTTGCATGGTTCTCTTCACCACTGGCCACGATGGGTGCAGTCTTTGAAATCGGAAGTACCTGGGAATGACCACACGTGAGGGCTTTTGATTCTGACAAAGCCAACAGCCTGGATTTGAGGGACGTTCTGCCCCCAAGGTCATGTGGAGTGGCATTTAGAAACTGCATGGCAGCTGGGGGTGTAGCCATGGCTTGGTGGTCCCTTGTACCTCCTGGGGCTTCATTTCGAGAGGACTGGAAGGTTTCAGGTGTGTGGGAAAGGCAGTATTATTAGACAGAGAATTACTGATGGATTAGAGAATGCTGAAAGGGAGGTGGGCTCAGAGCGCAGCCAGGAGCCATGGGGAGAGGGCCTTCCCTTATGCTGCTGGTACCAAGTTTCTCCTGCCTGCCCTCATGTGTCCAGAGACCCTACTTCTCCACTCTAGCCATGGCTTCATCCACCTCCTGACCTGGACTTCAGTCACTGTGCTGTCTCCTTTGGGACCATCAGCTAATGTGCTTGTGACTATGCTGAGCAGGAGACTGGCCGGGATCCTGTTGAGATTGGCCCTTGCCTTGCCCTGTCTAGGGCTGGTGTTGAGCTGATGCTGCCCTGTATCCCTGGGGCAGACGTGACATGGCCCAGGTGCCTCTGCGGGGAAACAGGCCATTGGAGACTCATCAGGCTCTTGCTCTGCACTTGGATTCTAGTTCCTTTTGGGACATGTTATCACATGGGCAGGTGTTAAGTTGATTGGGATAGGGTGGGGGGAGGGGCTTATTGGAGTTAAGGCTGGGATGGGAGAGGGACGGCACATTTTGTGGGCCATCTGGCCAGTTGTATTATGTAGATAGAGATGTTTGTATTTATCTAGAGATCTATTTCATGGTTCTTTTACATCAGATAGAAAAGCTAAGGGCTACGTTCCTGGCTGCCTCCCCAGGTCCCCAGGGTGATAATCATTGCAGCTTCAGCTTGGATGTGGGGGGCTGGCCATGAAACACTGATGGCCACAGAGGTATCACTGTCCTTTTCTGCCTTTTACCATCAGGAGGGAAGGCAGCAATTCACACCACAAGGCTGGTCACTGCTTCCAGAAGCAGCAGGGGTGGCCCACTGTTCTGCAGGTTTCAAGTCCAGCAGCAGCAGGTGCAGGGCTGACCCCAGCTACCCCTCAGCCCAATCTGCTCCCTCTGCTTTTGTCAACTCCCCAGGAAGCTACAATCTGCGTAACCCCACGTAGGAACCTACAGATGGCTTAACTCTTCCTCATCACAAAAACTACTATTTAATTCTCTAGTTTGATTTAGCTGTAGACATACTCTAATTTAGGCCTATACACAAATAACTCTTCTCTTGCATCTGTCCTTGCTTCTTCTCTACCCCACACAGGGAGGTTGCTCTTGAAATCACATGCTTAA